TTTAATAAGAAGAGAATAGCATGAAAAAAAAATAATGAATGGGCTAAATTTTGCTTAAAATGTTGACTATGGCTGGTGATGATGACGACGACGAAGCTGACGTCGTCTCAGCTTGTTGTGCTGAAGCAGTAGTAATAGTAGATTGAGGTTGTTGTGAAGAGGATTTTGAAGAAGATTGTGATGGCTGCTGCTTTACTGATGATGACGTCGTTCCGCTTGTTAATAGTGTCGCTGTTGTTGTTGTTGCTGGAACAGGTAAATTGTTAGGCGTAGATGTGATGGTGGTGGTAGTTGTAGTGGTAATATTTGTTAAAGTGGCAGTTGCAGCAACGGGGTCAAAGGATAGAAATCCTCCATTAACAAGGAGATGATTATTATTATTATTTTCATGATCTAATAAATAATTACCAATTATTAGATTATTATTATAATTATAACTTTCAATACCATCATAATTAACATCATAATTATCATCATTAAGATTTAAATTTAGTTCATAAGTTGTACTTTGAGTTGGATAAGTTGAGGAGGCTAAAGACATCAAATCAACTTGATCAAATTGATCAAAGTCGAATTGGTTGTTGTATAGTTGATCATCTAAATCATCTAAATCTGATCTTGACATTTTGAAAAGAGAAAGAGAAAGAGAAATGGAACGAATAGTGAGGAGGTTATAATAATTATATTTTTATTTATTTCTTTTACAACAAATAAAATTCACTTGATATTAAACAACGCGAAAAATTTTTTTTAATGATTTATATTTAATCTTATTAAATTGACATTGATATATAAAAAAAAAAATTTAAATAAATAAATAGTTAAATAAATAATTTAAAATGATGGGTCACTTTGGCGCGCGCGCACAATTTTAAAAAAAAGTTGATTAATTAATCACCATTCTTCTTCATTTTTCTTCTAAAGAATTTTTAAAATTTCCTAATTCGCTCTTTATAAATGTTTGTAGTTGACTGATTATAAGTTTATTGTTTTGATTTAGTTGATTTTGTAATTTTTGAGTTAATTCAGACTGAAATTTTTTAAAATCTGTTTTTTCTTTTTTCTTTGGTAGCACTGAAACAACTTCTCTCAACTTGTCAGAAATAAATGGTAAATTTTCTGGATCTTCCTTATAATCATTGTCTATCGATTTAATTATTTTTATAACTTCATCAACATAAACATCATAATATCTATATAAAATATATAATTAAATAAATGTGTATATAAATTTTAAAATTATTGATCAATTATTTATTCAATAATAGGAACGAATAAATGAATGAAATCTTTACATTAAATCAGGAAACCAGTTTCTCCAGCGACGTTGTTGAGGTAATAAGTAAAATAATTCGATTTCAATTATTACCTACAAACAAAAATCAACAAATCAGCAAAAATGGAATCAACTATTTCCCAATTTCACCAATTAATTAGCATGTTATTGGCAGTATTTGTAGTAGGGTTAGCATTACTGGTTTTTCTTTTCCTTGTTTTTTTTGGAGGAGGTGGTGGTGGTGGTGGTGGTGATGATGGCGGTGGTGATGATGACGACGACGAAGCTGACGTCGTCTCAGCTTGTTGTGCTGAAGCAGTAGTAATAGTAGATTGAGGTTGTTGTGAAGAGGATTTTGAAGAAGATTGTGATGGCTGCTGCTTTACTGATGATGACGTCGTTCCGCTTGTTAATAGTGTCGCTGTTGTTGTTGTTGCTGGAACAGGTAAATTGTTAGGCGTAGATGTGATGGTGGTGGTAGTTGTAGTGGTAATATTTGTTAAAGTGGCAGTTGCAGCAACGGGGTCAAAGGATAGAAATCCTCCATTAACAAGGAGATGATTATTATTATTATTTTCATGATCTAATAAATAATTACCAATTATTAGATTATTATTATAATTATAACTTTCAATACCATCATAATTAACATCATAATTATCATCATTAAGATTTAAATTTAGTTCATAAGTTGTACTTTGAGTTGGATAAGTTGAGGAGGCTAAAGACATCAAATCAACTTGATCAAATTGATCAAAGTCGAATTGGTTGTTGTATAGTTGATCATCTAAATCATCTAAATCTGATCTTGACATTTTGAAAAGAGAAAGAGAAAGAGAAATGGAACGAATAGTGAGGAGGTTATAATAATTATATTTTTATTTATTTCTTTTACAACAAATAAAATTCACTTGATATTAAACAACGCGAAAAATTTTTTTTAATGATTTATATTTAATCTTATTAAATTGACATTGATATATAAAAAAAAAAATTTAAATAAATAAATAGTTAAATAAATAATTTAAAATGATGGGTCACTTTGGCGCGCGCGCACAATTTTAAAAAAAAGTTGATTAATTAATCACCATTCTTCTTCATTTTTCTTCTAAAGAATTTTTAAAATTTCCTAATTCGCTCTTTATAAATGTTTGTAGTTGACTGATTATAAGTTTATTGTTTTGATTTAGTTGATTTTGTAATTTTTGAGTTAATTCAGACTGAAATTTTTTAAAATCTGTTTTTTCTTTTTTCTTTGGTAGCACTGAAACAACTTCTCTCAACTTGTCAGAAATAAATGGTAAATTTTCTGGATCTTCCTTATAATCATTGTCTATCGATTTAATTATTTTTATAACTTCATCAACATAAACATCATAATATCTATATAAAATATATAATTAAATAAATGTGTATATAAATTTTAAAATTATTGATCAATTATTTATTCAATAATAGGAACGAATAAATGAATGAAATCTTTACATTAAATCAGGAAACCAGTTTCTCCAGCGACGTTGTTGAGGTAATAAGTAAAATAATTCGATTTCAATTATTACCTACAAACAAAAATCAACAAATCAGCAAAAATGGAATCAACTATTTCCCAATTTCACCAATTAATTAGCATGTATAAATTCTAATTTGATGTATTGACTTACTTTAGCTCTTTCAATTAAAAATGCTTCCTTTGTATTGTTTTCTTCTATTGCATTACTCAACAAGCCAATAAATAAATTCATTAAATAAACCACCACTAGAAATGAAAATGCCACCATGAGAAAAGACAAATAATACTGATCAGCAAATTGCCATTGTGAAAATGCACTTGAATCGCCTAATAATCAATTTATAGTTGGAAATATTAGTGTTCCAAAAAAACCAAATATCTGCCACTACACAAATTCTGACCATCAATCAATTAATTAATTAACTGATTAATAAAATTACCTGTAAGAAAATTATACATTGCCAGTGTTGAAATGCCAATACCTGTAAATAAATTGGTGTTCTTGTCAGGTTGTTGTATATACGCATAATTGGTGTTCCCTTGAAAAGTATCATTCTGAACTATTAGCAAAAATTTATTTACTAAATTCCAAGGATCATTATCATCCACAATTTCAGAAAGAGTTGGTGGCTGATCAAATGAAGTATAGACTGTTCTTGGTTTTAGATAAATGTAAAATGCATGAGAAAAACTCAGGATCAATATAAATAAAATCACTAAAAATGAAAAAACTTTTTTTGCCACTCCAATAATTATAGCAAAATAAGCACCAAAGTATCTAAATGCTCTTAAAAATAACATAAATTTTATGTCCAATAATAAATTAGAAAATGAAATTAACCAAATTGGAGGTACGGCGTTATTGAACACCCAATATGATGAAGTAAATACTGTAAGTATATATGTAACTAAATCTAAATTAATTGATAAATTGAATGGATTAGATTATTGTTATTATTATTATTATTATTATTATTATTATTATTACTCACTAAAATATTTCCAAAAATCTCTTAAATATGCTTTTCTATTCCAAATCAATTGTTTAACTTCAAACATTAAATGAATTAATCCTAATACAATTGTAATTATTAAATATTTATAATCATTATCCTGTCCTTGATGTAGCTGCTGTTCTTTACCATTCGTAATAACCTCATCTTTGGAAAGAAGATGCATAGTGGTGCCACTGAATGATAATAAAAAGAATATATAAAATATCCATATTCCAACATAATATTGAAATCCAAATCTTTTCCACTTATAATTTAGAATTATTTCGCCATTCAAATATTTAAATAATCTTGTATGACTTACATTTAGGTGATTAAATGAATTGGATTCTGGTTTATAAAATATCTCTTTAAAAGGCGAACAATTTTCACTGGAATGACTAGTAAATCTTGGTAAAGGAATAACCAGGGCTATGATAAAATGATCGTGTAACTTGGGATTGTTTCATATTATGAGCGTCAATTATATCTTGGTAAATGGCACTAGTAACTTTTGCCTCATACATTAGTGATTTAACCGATTCCATGAACGCCATTGATTCATGTTCTTGATTTAGATTTGAATCATTTTCCATAACAATACCACTTCCAACACTACTCCCAATACTTCTATTTCTTGACGAATAATATCTTCCTTGATAATATTCTGATGCTAAACTACCATTACCCTCATCGCCTCCATAATTATCTAAAAAACATCATCACTATCGTCACTATTATTAATAATCGAACAAGAAAAAAGCAAAAATAAATATTAATCTACCATCAACTATTGGAAAATCCGATAATTGACCGCTATTACTTTTTGATAAATCCAATAATGCTCGATTAAATCCAATCGAATTTCTTTGGTTTCTATTGTCAACACTTTTTTTTGAAAATTTATTATTAAAGTTAATAATAATAATAATAATAATAATAATAATAGCAATAATGTCACTGTTTGCTATTGTTATTGAATATTTTATTTACCTTTCGACTACTCCTGATAAATCAAAAAAATCGCTACCACTAGCACTACCACCATAATTAAATCCTCCCAAAAAATCATTATCAAAAAACCGATCTAATAATATATATTGAAATCAATTATTATGTCAATTATAAGTGATTAATAAAATAATTACCGCTGCTGTCATGAGATCTATTCAAACTACTATCTCTACTCCTTCTAAGCCCAGATGATAATGATACATTTGTTGAACTTTCTCCTCTCCTCAACACTTCTGATTCAACATCTTGTAAACTGCTTGTTCTATCATGCTTTTATTGCCAGGACAATAGAAAATCATTTCGTTAAAACTATCAACTAATCAATAAAAATCAAACCCCGTTATACAGAACTTACTTCTTTGTTAATTTCAGGAATGTTAGTAGTAAAAGATAGGCTAATTGGTTCTTGCAAATAAATATCATTACCTTGAAAATATATCAAAATTCATTTTTATTATTTAATAATGTCGTATAAATATATTAATATGTAAATATAAATAATATGATCGCGTACTAGATAGCATTGGCGGTGGATGGGTTGTTCTTTGTCTGACGATATCATCTATTAAACCAAAAGAAAATAAATTTACAATCCATTGCATTAAATTTATAAATTATATATAAATACACATGCTAATGTGTGTATATATTAGACCTTGTAGCATTGGTGCACAATGATTCTCCCATAAAGTTACCAATGGTCTTGCTCTCACTATTATAAAATGTTTTCAATCAATAAATTGTTTGTGATTTTTTTATATGTTATTTTTATTATCAACTTAACGTGGTAATCCAGATGTATATAATATATTATTCCATTGATCTTTATATTTTTGGCTAACATTCTTTTATTTTGTATTTATAAACATATCCATCATATATTTATTATTTATCAAATTTAAACCATAAATAATTCTTTTTAAAAAAAAATTTGTCCAAACCTTTTCTCTTGCTTTTTGTTCAGCAATATCCAAATCAACAACAACGCTTTCGCGCATTTGAAGAATTTGTTCATTTGTTAATTCTGCTGGTTCATCGTACATATTTTGTAGCCTACGTCTACGACGACGTCTCGGTTGTGTCGAGACGGATGACCTTCTATTATTTTCTTCTTCATCAATAACTCGTGGTTCAATTACTACTTCCATCTCATCCTGTCCAATCCTTTGTTCATCTTGCCCTTGTTGCTCGTATACTTCCTATTTATCATGTATATGTCATAATTAACTGATTAATTGATTAAAAGCTAAAAGACAACTAACCACAGTATTTTGGAAATCATGATGATTTTCAACACCATCATGAATTTGAAGTTCAGTTCTACGCCTTTTGTGGTCTCTTGATTGATCGACATTATTATGTTCGTCTCTAACTCTATGCTCAATCTCTTTGATAGTATCAGAATTCAAACCATCAGTTATTCCCTCCTCATCAACTACTACGCCACTTCTTTCCATTCCTCCTCCGCCAACACCACTACCTTCAATGTCGGGCACAAGTTCATGTAAATTACCATTTTCGTCGAAATTAATTGTTATACTAATCAATTTTTATTAATTTTATTGTTATTATTAAAACACGATGATAATAATATCGAAATGCGTTAATATGTGAGTGTATATATATACCCATTATTATCTTCTATTCTTAATAAATCATCATCGTTAAGACTAAAACCAAATCCACCACCAAATCCAGTTGACAACGACTGAGTAAATTCACCATCACCTGAACTGAAAATCTCTTCCGGGAGAGTAATTAAAGAACGCCGTGATCTATTATTATCATTTTTTCGATTATTCGTCAAAACTAGCAAAAAAAAATATTATTATGGTATGAATATTTCACGCGATAAAGTAATAATGGTTTCTTTTCACTTTGATTTATTAATTGTTTAATTGGTCGATACCTTGGTTAGGAATTTCTTGTTCTGAAGATAATATCCAATCAATTTGTCTTTCGATCTCAAAAACCTTAAAAGGTTTTTTTTAAAAAAAGGAAAATAATTTGTAAACAAGCGTAAAATTTAATTTATAATATGAATATATTCTACCATATCTGTATCATTCGATTTATTTATTAACATTTCGATTTCGAAATAGGGATCATCTCGCAGCGTTATTGCTTCTTGTCTATTAAATTTGTCTATTAAATTTAACGTGTTATAAAGCGTATTTATGATTTTTATTGATTAATTGATTACCTTGCCTCTGATGTTGACATGTCGACGGATTCATTACGAAATTCGGACAAAGCTTTTTGAAATTTTAGCCATAAATTATTTGTATCCACTAAAAAAATAAATTCTTATTTAAGTATTTTTTTTTTTTAATTTTGGTGAAATAATCTCATTTTTTTTTACCGTAATAAAATTGGTACTGTTGTTGATATAAACGTGTAATTCCATACAATAAATTAGAAGATAATCGAAGTGCTAGTGGTTCCGGTGGTGAACTTAGATAGCCACTAGAATAATAATAAATAAATTCATATATTGATATTGAATATATAGATATGTATGAAGAGAATGTATTTCATGTGATCAGATCAATAGATAAAATGTTTACCAAGCTTTAACCAAATTAACTGAATTAATTTCTTTCCTTGAAAGTTTACGAAGATGAGAACGTGATCCTAACGTGGAAGCTAACCTAATTATTTAGACGATAATGAACATGGAAAAGAAAAATTGGAGCTCGATTGTTTATTTATTTATTAAACTCCATGTACAAACCAAATTATTCCAAATCCACATTTTTTTTTTGTTAATATTTCTTTTGAATAAAACATTTTCTATAAAAGGTAAAAAATAAATAAATTAATAAATTATAACTTATATTAGTACAAGAAATGATTTACATATGATAATACCGTAAATCAAAATTTTTTAAAAAAAACAATTTGATATTTTCTTCAAAATGAAATTATTAAATCAATCATCAGTATTATTTTCAACGATACTTTTAATTTTAATATTATTAATTTCAATAAAAATATTGTATTCGATTTTGGAATCATATTTACCAAAAGACAGGTAACAATACGAGCGAATGAAGAAGAAGATGGTGATGATGAAATATTGTTAATCTATAATCATAATCATAATCATAATCATAATCATAATAATTACTAATTATTTTGATTAGTTTGACCTTGCCAAAAGATCTAAAAGATGTTAAGCACCTCTATGAAGTGTTAAACAATTGTGAAAGTATTGACATATTGATTTGTTATGTAACGACTTATATATTGTAAGTAAGATAGGTAATAGACAATTATTATATAACAATAAATATAAACATAATTTATATATAATTTACAACATATAATATATATGTATATAGTTTGCAATCCTTTGCAATACCAGGAAGTGTGATGTTGAGTGTTTTAGGTGGAAGCTTATGGGGAAGTTGGAAGGCTTTAGTGATTGTTTGTTTTGTGAGCAAATTTTATTTATTTATTTATATGATCATTCTCTAAACACTAATTAATCAATTATGAATAAAATAATAATATTATTATTGATTGAAAAAAGTGTTCAGCAACAGGAGCAACAATTTGTTATTTATTATCTTATTACTTCGGTAAAAACATCACTGAAAAATATTGGAAGGAACGTATGATTAATTGGAATCAGCAAGTAACTAATTACTATTATTGTTATATTATAATAATAATAATATAATATATTACTTGAATACTTATATACTATCTCAAAATCCTTCTTATAGTTAAATGAGCATAGAAATAATTTGTTTTCTTATATATTATTTTTGAGAGTAACTCCATTTCTACCAAATTGGTTCATCAATATTGCATCTCCTCATTTAAGAGTTGATGTTGGTAAATTTTATTGGGCAACATTCCTTGGTAATTATTAATAAGAAGGATATTTATTATTGTTATAAAAATAATTACTAAGATGCGCTGATTTCTGTAGGTGTCGCTCCACTTTCTTTTATCCATGTCCAGGCGGGAGAAACTATACATGAAATGTCAGAAGCTGAGAACTTTACATTTCTAACAATTCAAAATATAACCACAATCATATTAATCAGCATTACTGCATTAATACCAATTGTGTTAAAATCCAAGTTCGCCAATTGATTGATTGGTTGTGATTTATATATGATTTTTTATTACATTTTCCATTTCTCATTTTTCATTTCTCATTTCTCATTTCTCATTTCCCTTTTCCCTTTTTTTTTATTATATAATTGACACTATACCATATTAAACATAACAATAATGAATGCAGTTAAAAATTTTTTTTGTGAGACTACATGTCGTGTAATCCACAAATTATGTTGTGTGCTTTGATTGTGCGTGTGTTATGTGTTTGTGTAATTTCCAATATTGAAAATACGTCACAATTCCCAACCTATTTTATTACTAATCTCATTTTCCATTATTTATTTATCCTACATCATATTAAAAAATTAGTAGTTGGCTAATTTGCTAACGTTATTTAATTTTTTTTAAAAAAAAGAAACAATTTAATAAAATAATAAATATTATAGTTGTAACGCTTTATTAATGGGTAATGCTGCTTCAAAAAAACGATTGTCGAACATCATAAGCGATCATGAAAAAGGAAAGGATAAAAGAGATAATAATGGACCTAATTCCGTTTCTGCTACTTCCAAAGACAATTTAAGTGTTGAAACAAATAGCAGAAATGTAAATAATGCTCTTTCAACGCTAAATAATAACATAAATAAGTTAGAAGACAATAGCAATAATAATAATAATAGTAATAACGGTAATCTAATGTCTCCATCAACATCAATGGAACCCATTCTTTTACGTTCTTCTAACGACAACAATGAGAATAACAACAACAACAACAACAACAACAACAACAACAACAACAAAGGTAATAATAACGGTAATAGTAACAATAGTAGCAATAGTAATATTAAAAGAACAGATTCAATTGGTTCGTCTCTTGCAAATACACTCTCATATGGAATTAGTAGTACTTTTAGTGGCAATAGTACTAATAGCAGTAGCAGTTATAATAATAATAATATTAGCTTACCAACATCGCCAACATCACTCAATGAACGTATGAAATCTATTGATATAGATGATATGATACAAAGACTTTTAATGGTTGGATATTCAAATAAAGTTTCCAAGTCTGTATGCTTAAAAAATGCAGAAATACAATCTATTTGTCAAGCAGCACGTGAAGTATTTTTATCACAACCAACATTGATAGAACTTACTCCACCGGTAAAAATAGTAGGTGATGTTCATGGTCAATACTCTGATCTTATAAGATTATTTGACATGTGTGGGTTTCCACCCAATGCCAATTATTTGTTCTTGGGCGATTATGTTGATCGTGGTAAACAAAGTTTGGAGACAATCCTACTTCTGCTTTGTTATAAAATTAAATATCCTGAAAATTTTTTTTTATTAAGAGGAAATCATGAATGTGCAAATGTTACCAGAGGTAATTTATAATATTTTTAATTACAATAATAATCATATTATTAATATTAATATTAATATATATATTCACACTCTCTAATATTATTTATTGTTTATTGTTTATTTACAAGTATATGGATTTTACGATGAATGTAAACGACGATCAAACATTAAAACATGGAAGACGTTTGTAGATGTATTTAATTGCCTTCCGATTGCAGCCGTTGTAGCAAACAAAATATTTTGCGTGCATGGAGGACTATCGCCTGACCTATCGTCGATGGATGAAATACGAGGTATTAGACGGCCAACAGAAATACCGGATTACGGTTTATTGAATGACCTACTTTGGTCAGATCCTTCAGAAACAGCAATTGATTGGGAGGATAATGAACGTGGTGTCAGTTATTGCTTCGGAAAAGCAATAATCCACGATTTTCTAAATCGACATGACTTTGATTTGGTATGTCGTGCTCACATGGTTGTAGAAGATGGTTATGAATTTTTTAACGAACGGACATTGGTCACTGTATTTTCAGCTCCTAATTATTGTGGAGAATTTGATAATTTCGGGGCTGTGATGAGCGTCAATGAGGAATTATTGTGTAGTTTTGAATTGCTCAAGCCACTTGATGCCTCAATGATTAAACAGCAGCAATCCAAATCAAAACGAAGGCTAAGGTATGAATATATATTTTAGTGATAGAATGATAATATATTTATATTTATATAGACAGATGTTTTAATTTTTATAAATTAATTTTTCTTTGACTTTCCTCTTTTTTCTAACTTCTTTCTCCAACTTTATTTTCTTTCTAGTACCAATCTTGGACCTCATAGTCCACCAGTTACTGGAGTTCCTCAATCAGTATGATAATATATAAACTATATGGTAAATAAAAACTTATCTCCTAACATTAATAAAAACCATATTAATATATAAAAATAACTTTTTAAAAAAGATGAACTTTATTTTTTGTATATTATTATTACTGTTTTTACTGTTATTGTTTTTTTATTATTATCAACAACAATATATTAGATATTAATTTATATATATATATATATATATATATACATACACTTTATAAATTTTGATTAATTTCTTTTAATATTATAAATATAATTTTTTGATTTGATACTACACTTCCTTATACATACCTTTTCCTTTTCCTTTTCCTTTTCCTTTGGTTTTAATTAATATTTTAAATCAATTTTTTTTTGTTTTTTTTTTATATTCTCTTTTTTATATATATATATTTTTTTAAAAAAAAAATAACAAATAAAAAAAAAAAAACTAAAAATTATAAGAAGCAAAAAAATATAATGAACATTTGATTTGTTTACCTTTATAAAATAAAGATGTATGTATATATATATGTATATGTATATATATATATATTGAATATAATAATAATTGATCAATTGATCGTATGATTTTTTTATATATCCAAACTCATCTCATGATGATATCAGGTAGACATCCTCTAAAAAAGGGTTAAGGTTCTAATTTTTTACAAGCAAAAAAATCGTTGGAAATATTTAGAATTTATATATCACCGAAAAGATTAAAACAGAATAGTGTGCATTTATGCATATAATGTTTGTTTATTTATTATGTAATAATAATAAAAGAATATTTTTATATACGATTTTTTAAAAGGAAAATAAAAAGATCGCCAGATTCTATCCCTTTGTCTATTTGTTTATTTACTTTTTTTAAAATGAAATTTTTTTGTGACATTTGAGATTTTATCTAGAAATAAAACAACAATTGTGTGATATATGATGATGGGAGCTTGCATATTATGTTATAGGGGGTGGAGGAGGTTAGTCACTGTTATTAGGACCACCACTACTCTAATATAAAAAAGAAGGTCATATATATGAAGATTGTAATAATTATATAGTAGTAGGGATTTTATGTCGATCACGAAGGAAAACTTCTTTAGTTAATTAATTAATTGATAAAGGGATTCTTTAAAGTTTTTGTGTGTACGTATATGTATGCATGCAGATCGAAGTTTCAAGTTATTAGGTTATACAAAAAAGGTTTAAAACCTTGCTGATTTCGTTTGTATTTAATTATTTTGACGATTCGGTAAAGACCGATAAATTTCTTATTTGTTGTTTTGTGATGACAGACAACAAATAAAGATATCAAGTGAATAGGTGTAAACTACCATTTTAATATAAATGTATTAACATGTTGTTTCTCCAACTCCTTTAAATCTTCTCCTTTTATATATTAATATATTCATTCATTTATATATATATACACGTCTACTACACTCACCCCACTCACCCCAATTCCACCCTAACCACAGCCCCAAATTCACTAACCTATAAAATAAAATAATCTAATCTAATCTTTAGCATAAAAAAATTTTTTCATCATCATTGGAATTTCTAAATTCTTATAATTAATTTAAATCTGATATATAATCTAAATAAAGTTATATTTATTGCTTGTGGTAAGTGAATGAATGGGATGGATGAGTAATAGTTGTCATCATGAAAATCTTTTTTTATTTTCAAAATAATCAAAAATAGCTCATTTTTCCCGCTTTTTTTTTCTTTACTCACGCTAACTTTTTTTTCTCTCGTCTAAAATATTCATTATTTCAATTCATCAAAAATTCGATTTTTCACTATATTGTTATTTTATCAGTTTTTTTTATTTTTGATAGTTAAAATTTCACACGGTTAGGTTTATTTATTTTTTTTTTTTTGAATACATAAAAGGAAAATTTCAATAATTTACCAAATCGATAGGTTTTTTATTTTTATACAAAAAAATAACTTTGATTTTCTCTCTTTTAAAAAAAATGCTTTTTTTTTGTTTATCATTTCCTTTTCATTCCAATTAAAGGATATTTATTTAACCCGAAAGGATTGATGAAATGAAACAAACCCAAAAATCAAAGATTTTGAAGACTAAATAGAGACAACAAACAACACGACAAGGAAGTAATAAACAATGTACGAGTGTTTCTTTTTTATTCTTTATTATTTATTTAAATGTTTTTTCAAACGTGTTTAATAAATAATAATAATAATTAATTAATTAATTAAGACAACTAATTAATAGAGACGACGATAATAACGATAATAATGATAATGATAAATGGAACATCAAGTGATGAATGAAGGAAAATATCCATTATTATTTTCCTAATATGTGTATTCCAGAAGATTCTTAAAGTTCCTTAAATAATAATTTATAATAAATCGTAAAGAAAAAACGCGGGAAATTTTTAAAAGTTGTGAAATCAAATCAAATCAAATCTTTTTAAAGGAAAATAATTGTCTCGGATTCATGAAACAAGCATTGACACGAGAGATGTTTTTCACATTATTATTAAATAAATTATTATGAAACAATGTTATTATTATTATTATTATTATTATTATTATTATTATTATTACTCACTAAAATATTTCCAAAAATCTCTTAAATATGCTTTTCTATTCCAAATCAATTGTTTAACTTCAAACATTAAATGAATTAATCCTAATACAATTGTAATTATTAAATATTTATAATCATTATCCTGTCCTTGATGTAGCTGCTGTTCTTTACCATTCGTAATAACCTCATCTTTGGAAAGAAGATGCATAGTGGTGCCACTGAATGATAATAAAAAGAATATATAAAATATCCATATTCCAACATAATATTGAAATCCAAATCTTTTCCACTTATAATTTAGAATTATTTCGCCATTCAAATATTTAAATAATCTTGTATGACTTACATTTAGGTGATTAAATGAATTGGATTCTGGTTTATAAAATATCTCTTTAAAAGGCGAACAATTTTCACTGGAATGACTAGTAAATCTTGGTAAAGGAATAACCAGGGCTAGACTAGAATATCTTAATTTCTCTCTACTGAATGATGATAATGTTAATTGTGTACTATTATGATTGTTATTATCATAATTTCTAATGTTATCGATGTGATTATTAAGAATATTTTCATTATGATTTTCAATATGTTCCACTATTCTTTTGTAATAATTAAAATATAATTTATAATATAAATTCCATAGAGAACTGTTTTCATATATAACGAAATCTTTATTGTATCCATTTATTAAGTTTGATTTACTATAAGGTACATTATTATTGAATGATGGATCCAGAATAATTGAGATTTGATTATAGAATTTATCAACGATTAAAGGATAGTTTGCTTCCAATATTGATAATTTCAATGTTATCAAACTCAACAACCCCAAGTTTGACTTATAATTAGATTTAAATATACTTAAACATGTTTCAATGATTGCTTCTATTATGACTTCTTTATCATGAATAATTGAATATTGTAATATTAATTTGCCGTATTTAATAAATGATGGAACATTTTTACTATTCAATATATTATTAATTAACAAATCTCTAAATGGCTTGACTGGCTTTCTTTTTGGTTTTGGTTTTGCTAACTTCTTTCTCTTATTACTATCCTTACTGTTATTACCATCGTCAACATTATTATCATCATCACTGACATTATTATTATTTCTAATATAATCAAGAATATCATCACTGTGATCATCATGATTATCATCGTCATCATCGTCATCATCATCATGATCTTCCTCACCTTTGCCCTCATCCTCAAATGGCGATAATGTAAAATTAAAATTTTTTATCACAAAATTGAAATCTATATTAAATAGACCTTGATTTAAACCGCCACCATTATCATCAAAATTTACATAGTTGATAAATTTCAAGTATATTTTATTATCATTATAACTATCAATTGAAAATATGAAAACTTCATTCAGTGTAACTACTAATAAATCTTCATTTTCTAAAATTTTACATGAGAACTTGTTTGTAGACAGAAAATAATCCAAATGTATTAATTTATCATTATCATTATTATCATCATTACCACTACCGTATTTTTTAAACCTGATTATCAATAATTTTTCATCGAACCTATAATTCAACAACCATTTAATAGAATCTTGGACTAATTCTACTCTTTTTTCTTTCTTTTTCTCATTATTTTTGTCCTCATCTTCATACTCTTCGTAATCTTCTTTGGTTAATTTTTCATGAACTTCATTTATTTCCTTAATGATCATTTTAAAAATAGATCCAATATTATTGAAATGTTTTAAATGATTATTTGTGATCTTGGATTCTTTTATCACTGCTTTTTCTTTCCCTTCCCCTTCCCCATCTCCTCCTTCATCTTTGATAATTTTATCAATTACAATATAATTATCAATAATTTTGATTAATTTACTATTAAGTAAAAAACTGGTTTCATTTTTATTGTCACCAGCAGCAGTGCTACCGTTGAATATATCTGTTATGCAAGTATAGTTGTTAAGATCATAAGGATCGAATAATTTATAAGTAATTTCGTTTGATTGTTTATTAATCAAAATTGCAAATAAATGTTCAACATTATCTTTTGAATAAATGAATTCAATATCTTTAATAGTCTCTTCTTTAAATCGTGCTAAATAATTTAAAAATGAGCATTAATGGTTCTAAATATTAGTTATAAAATCGAAGCAAAAAAAAACTGCTTACCTGATGATACTACTATTCCATATTCAATTGAACATACAACTATTTCATGACACAACTTAATTGCAACAATACATTCGTCTTTACTATAAATTAATTTCTTAATTATAAAACAAGGTCTTAATAAATAATAATGGTTTTCAAATGTCATTGTCACGTTATCTATTTGTGTTGTAAACAAATCTTTATAATCAATCAACATTTTTCTAGAATTCAGAAAAACATTTGGTCTATTATTAATTGTAGCTGGAGATATAATATTATATGATGTCTTATATATTGCTCTAAAATGAACATTATTATTGGAATCACAAGTGGATTTGAAGGTGAGAATGTGAATTTTTAAATCTTTGTAATTAAATCTTTCCTCGATCAATAACAAATTTCCATTAGTAAGGAATGTCATTTTATTGATTTCCATAAAAACTTTGGTAGTTATTTTACTTGGTAATTTGATCAATTTTTTATTATTCAAATTTAATATTGCTATAGAGAAAATAGAATGTGATGAGGATGAATATTATGATGAAGACGGATGGAAAAGATGGTATATATATTATGATTATCATCGTACTTTATATTATACAAATATATATATATATGAAAAGATTAAATAAATACTTACAATCTTTTCTATTTAATACAATCAATTTATTATCAGATATTGCTTTAATGTATTCTCCACCTTTAGTTGTCACCAATTCATCAATAACTTTTTCATCGCTATTATCATCATCAGTAATTTTATAATAATCATCTGGATCAAGTTTACCAAATTTTTTATTATACATCCATCCTGTAATTGATTTATCTATTTTACTATATGTCACTAGATATTTATAATTAGGTGATGATTCCATTTGTACAATAGGCTGTCCATTATGTGGTTTTTTATTATCATCATTACCATCATCATCATCAAAGTTGATCATATTAGTCACTTCATTTTTAATGTTAATTTTAACCACTTTTTCTTCTAAATTATTAGATTTTCCCATAATAATTGCCTTTTCTTTTTCAAATTTTCAACAATATTAAGAATTAAAAATAAATGGGGAAGAATAAAAGGATAAATTAATTATCTCCCAAGGAATTCATTGTTTTTCAAGATTTAATTTGTACCATGTAAAAAAAACTTTAATTATATAAACTATACATTTTGAGTGATTTACTATATTTGCTATATTTGTAAAATATCTAATATTAATAATATATATAATACAAGTCACTTACTCGCTGAGCCTTTTTGCCACAACGCCAAGCATCAAAATGGAGGGAGACAAAACAGCAAGTGGCAATTTCCAAATTTTGTTTACGAATATATTTACTGTAATGATAATGAACGAGTTGGATATTATATGTGCCATTTTTGGAGTTTAAATTGTACAAAATGAAAATCAAACTATGATTTGCCATTTTTGGAAGAATTAAAGGATCTACAAGACCAATAAAAAAAATTCCACAAGGAATAATATATCCATATTAATATGCGCTGAATTTGTTTGGACCCCAAAAATTCAGATCATAACATTATGAATACTTTAAATACTTTATATGTACTATTTAGCAAAAATCCATTGGTTTTGAGGCGAGGCCATTGTTTTGACGAGCTGTGAATAGTAAAATTGTTTTTCTAACGAAGCAAATAAATTTTTTTAGGGTTAATTATCATTCTACTGACCAGTTTGCACATTTAAAATACTCGTGTTTAACGTCAAGACACAATAAAATATAAGGTTTGAAAAAAGGGTCCAAAAAACCAAATCGGATGATATGATTTCTGTGTGTAAAATACACAAAAATCATCAGCTTTAATGATTTAACAAGTTTCCCCAAAAACATTTAATATTTTTTATCTTTTGAATAAAAAATCATCAAACAAAAATTTTAATTCACTTGTTGTAAAGTTATTAATATTAACTATGCTTGGGACGAAACCCCCATGTTTTTTCATATTTGGCAAAGAACAAAAAAATTTGCTGTCGATTTTTGAACGTCATAATTGTGTATTAGAACTGACTAAGATTCAAAATTCATTTTTTTTCTTTTCTATGCTGAGAACAAACCAATATGTTTGTTGATTTGAGGATAACTAATTATATATATCTCTGATTCTTTAGTAAAAAGAATATATAAATCCATGCGGGAGAATAATAAAATAAAGAAAAATTGTATATACATATCATTATGTAAAATGATTAGTAGACTTGCAGCCATTTTATACACTCGAGTCATTCCCGATTGAAAAAGGTGGATCATGAACAAAGTACTTCAAGTTTTAGTCTTTTAGAGAGATTTTTAAAATGTCATGGCAAGCCTCATCCGGATTATTTTTGCCGAGCTTTGATTTTAAATAGGCAGGCCGGATTTCAATCGAATTGGACAATCTCATTATTATTGTTATTATTGTTATTATCAATACAAATGCGAAAATATAAATAATAAAACTTCAGTAATGAAATGAACTATATCTTCATTAACGTCCCAAATATTCATGAATTTCATCATATTTCGTTTTAGAAAAGGCATCTTAGCAACTAAATTGCAATTTAAACGGGTTCTTTTTGATTTGTGAACAGAAAAAAGGTGACTTATATGTTAATAAATGCATTAATCGAATGATCATTGCGTGATTATGTTGATAAATAATGTTGACTCAGGCTTTTAATTTCGTCAATTAATAATATAAATCAATGCGTGTTGAATAACAATAACAAATAAATAAATGTACATTATTTATAATGTGAGACAGCATGAATTAATTCCTTCAATCGGAATAATAATAGCAACCGTATTAGTATTAAAATTAATATTTGTAACGGAAATTCTACCATTGTCAAATGCAGGATACCTAAAAAATAGTGTAATAATTAATGTAAACTAATTTAGCAGTTTTTAAAAAGTATTTAGTAAATATACCTTTCCGATAGGGTTTCTAACTGAATAAGGTTTATTGAATAAAACGAATGATTCGAATAATATTAAATTTATTGCGTATGTTACATAAATATGCATTCAACATAATTTTGGAGATAAACAAACAATAACAAGGTTTTATATTTTTATTGACTTATTTAGGTAATTCATCAGGCATAGTTGATTCAACCTGTTGAGAATCTAAAAAAATATTTATCATAAAATTTTAAAAAAGTAATAAAAAATGAAAATAATCAATGATAATAATTACTATCACTGTTACCAATAATTGACACTTTATTGGAATTCACAGGTTGGGGAAGGCTTGTAAATTTTAATAATCTGTTAGTATAAACAGCATTTGAATGAATTGTTGCAGTAATTGTTCTTCATTTTTGTTTCATGATGATGTTAGACTAGCTGGCCATCATATTAATTCCAAGTCTGTAATAAATCTAAGTTGGTAGTTTTGAGGAATATTACCACTATGAAGACCATGATGAATAATTTCTTCTTTATGAATATCTTTTAAATTTCCATCTTCTGTATATTTCATTACAAATATACATTCTTTGTAGTTGGATCTTGTGTTAATCCATAAATTTGAATTATATTTCTTTTATCATTGAATACACTGATAAATAACCAACCATAGTTATTCGTCGTAATTACCCTCCTTAATAAATGATCATTGCCATATCTGTAAGGCCATAATATTATTGAGCAAAACTTGTTGATCATAATAAAAAGCTGGATCAGGCTTTTAAGCACTTCCATTAATTATGTAGAAAAAGTGACAACCAATGAAAAGAAAACTAGAACCGATTTTGCCGTATTATAAAGTCTCTTTTTGTAAATATTTTATAACGTAAATTGTATTAAGGTTTCCAGTCTCTTAATAATTGAAATTGCCAAAACACTTTGGGCAAAAATTAATTTTTTATAGGCCCAACTATTTTTTATTTATAGTTGAAATTGGGAGAAGTTCCTTTATTCATTCTTATAAAAAATATTGAGAAGCCCAAACTATTGCCAAAGCTATGGTTGGCTCGGTCTAAAGACATCCTATTACTGCGCTACGCGCTCGAATTTCAAAAAGGTCTTCACATGATTTTGGTTAAAAATTTTGGCACGTATTAGTATAAATTTAGCAATGATTCTAGTGCTTATGAACATAGTAAAAGTACATGTTTTAAAAAAGAATAGAACTCTACAACAAATAATTTTTTTGAGAAAATCTCTCTATTACATTAAAACTAAAGACCTATTTTTATCAACTAATTGAGCTATTTTTTTAAAGAGTGGTAGAAATAGGTTGATCACTTGACTAATCAGGTGACAGACCGAGTTTTGAGACTAAGATCTAAGCATGGATGTACTGGTCTTGTGCCGGGCTGGATGGACCATTTAACATCACCAGACGTGTTTAAAAAATGGATTTAATAAAGAAAAACGAAAAAAAAGAACAAGCATCGAGAGAGTTAAAACACACGAGTAAGTATTACTGTAAAACTATAACAGAAAAAAAAACACTTGCAATGATGTTAAAATCAATTAGATCAAGATCATTTAGTTAATTTAATTTATGAATAGAAAATCAAAAGTTATACCAAGAGAAACATCCAGTAAAAGAAGTAAAAAGGATGTGAATCTTGTTAAAGATTTTACAACGTTAGAAGATCCCGACTTGCCATTATCTGTTGAAGAAGCGTTGGAGGATTGCGAGATTACGAGATTTACTTTTCAAGATAATAAACGGAACAAATCTAGTAAGATTTCAAATAAAGCTAGGGACGTTGGAGCTGAAATACTTTTAATATAATTCTTTCACTGATGAGAAACCCTGAAACTTTGGAAGAGGATCATAAACATTATTTGTTAGTTAAATTAATTGGTTGTATTCTTTATGAACATGATGGTTTGGTTAATGCACTACGAGTAAAATCATATTTACATCAATAATTTCACAGTGTCTTTATAGTGAATTAGCCAAAGTTCGTTGAACAACAAAGTGCAGATTTAATATCATGTATCTCAGTGTTATGAAAATATGCAAAGAAGAAGAGTTGATCAGTAATACATTATATCATTAGAAAGAAAAAAATAGATTAGATGAATTTGTATCGATTTTACAATGATTAAAATCGATTGTTAGTATTGCTGATTTATCAAATATAATACCAACAATTAAAGATCATATGATTCTTATTATCTATGAAATATTTGTGATTTGCATTGTTAATAGGTATTATTCATCAATTAATTTTATTGTTTTCTAATTGGATTTTGATTAGATTTTATTTTTAGATTAAATTTCATTTTTACGCACAACATATATACATTGTTGTAAAATTTGATTAAAGATTTAGGTGGATAAAATGAGGCAATAATAATAAAAATGATAACGACAATAGCAGTTGATAATTATTGAAATAGTAATGATTTTAACAACAACAATAATAATAAAGAATTATATCTTTTCTAAAGGTTAATAATTTATATATTTAAATTGAGTGAATTCAAAACAAGAATTTGTTTTAAATGAGCCACATAATAAGATTAATATTATTAACATTAAAATTGAGCCATTCTTGGCTTCTGGAAGACATTACTCTGCCGCAGGCGTTTACTTTGCAAACTATCTGTATCTTTATGCGGAAAAAAATCCATTAGGATTTCATATCGTCAAGAAATTAACGTGACAGAAGATTTTAATGTTACGGTTGTTGACAAAAATCCGATCTTCAACTGAATAATAAATAATCTATATACTTAAATTACGAGTTGTACAACTAAATTATTTTATTTTTATGGAAGATTTTGGTTTGTGCAGTTATTTGTGGTAGTAGTATGAAAATTTTTTTTACTGACGAGGCGAAGAAGGTAGCATCGTTCAATACTACTATGAGAGAGCTTTTCAGAAGATGGGAATTAATATAAAACAAAATCAATGATGATAGTAATAATGGATTTAAATCCTTGGCCGACTGTGAAGTATAATAAGGGTAATATTTATTTAAAAGGTTTAAAGGTTTAAATATTTAACCTTCGTTCCTTACATTCCCACGTTAAAGTTATATATATAATTGATCATATAATATATTTATAAATTTATCAATAATTACGATGGCGAAGAAGGCCTACAACACCTTGTGCCACCAAATTACTTTCCATATAAGGAATCTTCTTCATAATTTTAATATAATAACAGAGAGAAAGAGAATTGGTTATATTTTGCGAGAATTAATCAATAGATCTTCGATCAAAATCGGCATCATTATTATTTACTTAAATCAACTTGATTAATTACAGGTTTTTTAACTTTACTTTTCTTTTTTTTCAAATTAATGTATATGTATGTATGTTCGTATGTGCGTGAGTGCGTAAGCACGTATTTATGTATATAAGCGCACACACAATGATAACAATGAATTTATTTAATCATTCATTTGCCTAATTCTTATAATTGAAAAAAATAAAACTTGATTTTTAATTAAAAATCATCTGCTGTTGTTATTATTATTTTTCGAACAATAGGTATCGCTATTTGGATTGTTAAATGTTGTATTAATTAAGTGAATTGAATTAGAATTTGAATTTCATGTTTGCTAATGGTATTTATTATTAATATTTAATGAAATTTGATTTTCTCTGCACACAAGTCTATCTGGTATGCATAGACTAAACTCTTTTTTATATTTATAAAATGTATATTTTTTTTATTTGTTTATTTACTAACCAAATTTGTATTAATTTTTTTTGGAAAAAAAAGGTTTTGACATTTTTACAACTGTCTATTTATAGTCATGGATTAGAAATCTTTTAGAGAAAAAAATTTTTTATTAGACGCACATAACATCATTATGTACTAATACGCATATAGAGAGAAAAAAAATATTAATTTTTATTTATTATTTATTTATTTAAAGATCTGCTGTCAATCTTTTTTTGTATAAAATAGGAAATTGGTGGGGTGAAAAGGAAAAAATCATTCAATGAATAAAAAAATAATGAATGAATGGATGAATGATAATAGGAATTATTCGTGAAGATGACAATATTAAAAAAAAAAGGAATTATTACAGTGTGATCCAATAATATAGGGAGGGACAGAAGATTATGTAAATGCGTGATAAATAAATAAATGATTTTTTAAAGTTTGTGACAATATGATATTGTAACATGATTTAATGCAGAAAAAAATTTTTTCTGTTGAAAAAGAAAGCTTACGATGATAAAAAAAATAAATAAACAAGCGGTATTATTAATTGTTTGGTCAAGTGTCCTTCCATAATTGGATCTCGGAAGAATTTTATTGGTTTGTGAACCCGTAAAAATTTGTAATTCAAAAAGGACAAAGAACATTGGCTAATAATTAATTGGCTTGTGGAATTAATCGTTAGTAAAGTTAGTTTATTTAGTTAGCGGGTATAATTAAATTTACTAAATATATAAATATAATAATAAGTCTTACGGATTCTAACTGTCGACAGTTACAACGACAATAAATCTCGAACTTTTTTTCCCGTTTAGTAAAAGAATTAAAAATTATTTCCTATTTTAGATGTCACTTTAACAATTCATGTTGAAATGAATTAAAAATTCCAAAAAAAAATTTTTCATTTAAAAGTAATTTGCGTAAATACTGACACACGAGCACACGCACACACAATAAGTTTTTAGTAAAATTAAAATTATTTTTTCTTTCCTCTGCAGTTTCTAATCCAATGTTTGATCAGCTTCAATTTTTAATGTTTACCCCACCTGACCTCACGATACTAAAGGTTCTTTCTTAATCGAGAATAATAAAAACATCAATTATTAATTATTAAACATGTAAAAGATTTTATTTTCATTTATTTCAGATCAACTTAAAAAAATGGGGTTTTTGTTGATATAATTTGTCGTCTTTCTCCACCAGATATCACCTGTCGTTCACATGTCCTATATAGTTGATATTTGTTTTGCTACTGTGTTAACCTAGCTAGCATTCATTCATTCATTCATTCATTTCATTCGTTTAAATATTCAATAGATCGATAGATAGATATATACTGTATATAATATATAAATGACGCAGTGAATTGAAATTGCCATTAATGGTATAAATAATGGTATAAAAAAAATATATAAAAAAAAGCTAATGTTTTAAAAAAGTGCGGGTATTACCGTATGTTTTAATATTGGTTTTTTAAAAAAGAGACAGGTTGCAGTCAGGTCAACACAATAATATTAATAATTAATGACGACAATATCATGATGAATGTGTTTAGGTGAAATGAAAAATCAAGATGAATACAACAAAAACAAAGAGATAACCAACCATCACGTAATTTGATTATTAATCCAATATAATCATGCCCCTCCCCCCTCTTTTCCTCCCTATATCTATTTCACATCCCTAGAATTCCCTCCCTTAACCCTAAAAATTAAAAAATTAAAATTAATTAAAAAAAATTAAAATTAAAATTAATTAAAAAAAATTAAAATTAAAATTAAAAATTAAAATTAAAATTAAAATAATATTTTAGTGAATGTAAATTACGTCGTCTATATGTATGTATGAATGAATAAATGGTGTGATTGAAATGTGATTATTATTATAAATAAATAGAGAATTTGTGCAGGAATTTTTTATTTTTTGGAAGATCATATTATCATATTTGGTAAGATTCGTTCTTTCGGATATTTTAAAACTAATACGTACATAATAATATTTATTATCAAATTTAAACTTTAAAAATATTTATCTTTATACCTCATTAATAAATAATAATATTATTATTATTTATTATTTGAGTTGGGAAGATAAAAAAAATAAAAATAAAAAAAGGAATGGATTTATGTAAAAATTTTTCCCTTCATTTTGTTCCATAATAACAATAATAAATAAACAAATAGATAAAATTATTAAATAAATAAATAAACAAATTAAATAAGTAAATTAACTAAATAAAATTAAAATAAATAAATAATATTAACACAAAAGATTAATGTAATCAGAATAGATAACTATGATGTAATCTTTCACTGATAAGATAAAAAAAAATTATTATTAGATGAAATAAACATATTAATGTATGGTGGGTTATTTTAATGGCGATTAGGTTAATTAATATTAGCACTAAATAAAATATGCAGGGTTTTTTTAATTGCGCACGGTTATCAACATGTCAAATATATTTGTTATCACGCGCACTATATGAAAGAATTGTGATATTCCTGAAAAGATCACGCACCTCATTTATCATTAAAATAAATCATTCTTAATTTAGTATATAATTCTCTAATCCCAATAATTATCCAATTATTATTCAATAATAATAAATGTGGTAATGAATATAATATATTTGAACTGATAAGTTTGTGTGTGGCACATTATTTTTTTTTTTTTTAGGTAATGTGGTATTATTGTTATTATTGTTATTGATTTTTATGCTTAATCTCTTTTGGTCCCTTTCTCTAAACAAACATTTAATCTATTATTTTCGATTTTATTGGCTTAAATAAATCGTTTTTGTAAAAATTTTAAACTTTCTACAAAAATTAATTAATATTATGTTTGTGCTATTTATCCCATTAACCGTTCATTCATTCATTCATTCATCCATCCATTCATTCATTCGTATTTCTGTAGTTATTATTGCTCCATTATTTCTTTATTTGTGATTTTATTTATTTATTTATTTTATCTATTTATTATTTATTTATTTATTTATTAATTGTTTGTTTATTATTTATTCTCCACAATTAAATTAAAATTACACAAGATTGTTGGGAATCCATACTATATATATATGTATATAATACTATATATACACATATAACAACAAGTGGTGTATAATTTGTAAAGCGAGGTAAATCGCAAATTAGATCTATTAGTTGCTGAATTTGATTGTAATATTTGTTAGGTTTAATTGATTGAATAATCAATCAATCAATAAATCAATCAATCAATCGATCAACGATCAATTGATTGGTTCGTGAATGCTTTCCAATCCAATTAAAAAAAAAACAATGAACAATGTTTTGCGAGGGAAAATGCGAGTTTCTTCTCTAATTGACACAAATAAATTGTTGTGTACGTCATGCAGCAGCTTAATAAAACGATGATCATAATCATAGATGATGATGACTCAGTTTTTAGAATCATATCAGATTTTATCCCTCTCAGATTAAAAGCATGTGATTCAAGGTATGTATATAATTTAAATCACGATCAAAAGTATGATTTAGGAGCGTAATCGATGGTCAAATTAATTAGATCATAAATTACAGGGGGCCAAATGTTTCAAAATTCTGGTAATCAACGCGGCCGTGTCCGATTTCATCACGTAACTTTAATCCATGCCCTTGTTTTTTTTTTCGGGTGTTCGAGCCCGATGGTGTTTACCGGTAATGGTAACAGATCGTTTTTTCTTCCGCTGATAAGCTTTTTAGAAAATGGTTACTAAAAATTATAACTCCTCCCTGTAATTCTTTTGTGACATCATTGTTTTCACTTTTTTAGGTGATGATATCATCATCATCATCTTATTTTCCAAAAAAAAAAGTTAAAAATTATTCTGTAATACAAAAAATATTAAATAATAATAATAATAAATAATAATGAATATTATTATTAGATATTTAATTATTATTATTATTATTATTATTATTATTTGGTTTTGGTTAATTACGCACCCCATTTTTTAAAGTGATGGTAGCACCCTTATATTCTAATTATACCACCCTGATATGGAATATATAAGTTAATTAATTCATTGACTTTTTAATATTATTGATATTACGTAAAATTATTATTTTTAAAAATGTGACAACTAAAAAAAAAATTATTCCTTCACCCAAACTAAGAAATCTCTGGTGTAACGTCAATATTTGAAAGTATACATATATATTTAATATAAATATATAAATATAAACACTTCTCTCCCTCTCTTGACTTTATCACAAGAGAAAACAAAAATAATAATAAATAATAAATATTTATATAATAAATTAAACTGTACTGCGTAGTAATATTTGATGACATATTTGTAAATATACAGATTATAAACATATTCTAGACTAACCAAACCATTAGTTCAAAAAGTTGTTATTAGTAATTAACTAAATATACATCATCTCAATCAGACATCATAAATCATAAATCTGTTTATAAAAAAAACACAATTCAAAAAAATCTTAATTGTATAATATATATATACACAGATAATCATTTTTATTTTATTTTTATTATTTTATTGGTATATAAACATCATCGTTCCCGCCCCTTCTTATTTTCTCTTTCTCTTTTTTTTTTAACAAGAAACGGTTTGTGTTTATTGTTCCTATCAATTTTTTATTTTTAAATATATCTATAAATTTATTATTATATATATATATTATATATATATATGTATATATAATATTAAATAAGAAAGAATAAATTATCTTCTATATATATTATATATTAGTTATTAATAATATATAATTTGGAAAAAATTAAAAAAAAAATACTTTAAAAAATAATCTTTCACTTCTTAAAAAACTAGTTTTTTTATTAGAAATATAAAATAAAAATTTACGTTATATCTTACTCTTTAAATTCTCATCTTTTATTAAAAAATAGTATTTATATTCTTTTTCGCCTTCAATTTATTACTATATATATATATAATAATACATATATATATACACAGTTTTTAAATTAAATCGTTTTTTTTTCAATTTTTCTATTATTAATAATTATTTCTTTGTATTTCTGAATTTCTAAGATTTTTTCTTTTTTTCAACAACTAAAACTTTTCTTCTTTAAAAAAAAAAAAAAGGCAAAAACGAAGTTTTTGCGCAAAGAAACGAACTACTCTACAAAACAACTTTCAAATATATTTAACGGTTTTATTTTATTATTATTAAAACAACAAATTCAATTATGACTACTCTTGCTGGAAGCAATCATCATAATAATTATATTACCAATCTACCTTTTGTTCAATCTCCAACTTATGGTAATAACTCCAATTTGGTAGATAATACATTTTGTGGCAATGATCAAATCAATATGAATAATAATGGTAATAATAGTTATTTGGATGCTAATAGTTCTCAAACGATTATTAAATCTGAATTTTATTCTAAACAAGAAGGAGAAGAAGAGTTCATATTAAACAGTTATCAACAGTCACAATTTATATTGCCAATATCATCTGGATCTACATCTCCTTTATCTCCTTTATATTCGCAAGCGAGTCATCATCATCACCCTCACCATCCTATTCAGCAACAATCATATGAAGGTGTTCCAATCAAAACCGAATTTTGTGACGATGATAGAAATAACCATAATAATGGCAATAGTAGCGGTAACAATGGTTATGGTTATGGTTTGGTTGATATCGATCACAACTCTTCAATCGAATCCTCTCCTCACTTGTTAACAACAAATGAGTTTGATAAAGGTCCACCATTTGCTCCTTATAATAATTATCATCCTTGTGATGACAATTCATCAAGTGAACCTATTTCATCAGCCACCTCACCAACTCTTTCATTCGCCTACAATTATCCTCCACCACCACCACCACCACCACAACAACAACAGCAGCAACATCATCATCATCATCATCATCAACATCACCAACATCATCATCATCAACAACAACCTGCTCTTTGTGACGCTGTTAATGTCTCTGATTCTTCTGGATCTGTGTCATCTGTCGCTTCACCAATCAATACAAATATAACGGAATTTAACAATTATAATATCAGTGAATATTATGGTCTTTTAACAAATTCCAATAACAATAATCACAATCACAACAGCAATTGTAATAATTCACCTCTCAGCTCACCAACATCTTCGTCACCCTCCATAATAACATCAACCAATAATGCTGTGTCATTATCATCTTCAAGAGCTTCCACCAATCCTACTACTCCTACTAATCATGCGTCAGCAAATCTCAATGTTACCGCTGCTGCTGCTGCTTCTTATAATGACCAAATGAGGATTATCATGTATAAACCTGCTCCTCAAAATGATAGCATAGCACTTGTTCATCAAAATATTCAACACAATTACAACATGTCACCATCATTCTGGCTTCAATCTGCTTCACCTGCTTCACCACAACAAATAGCAGCAGCACCAGCAATGAATCATCATCATCATCGCCAACCAAATATGATTCCATTCGACTATGCTCATCATAACCACAATCATAACCACAATCACAATCATAATCATAACCATAGTCATCATCACATATTAATAGATCCTTCATTGATATCAACTTCTCATCCATCATCGGCTAATCATAATAATAACAATAATGCTGCTACACCAATTCCAAATACCATAATAAATACTAATAATCTTGTTTCTACAGCATCTCATCACCATCACAATAGCAACACCAATGCTACTATTAATAATAATAATAATAATAATAATAATAATAATTGTGGAGGTCGCAAAAATAAAAATAATAAGAACAACAACAATAATACAACAACAGCAATCATCAACCCTGAAAATACAGCAGTATCAGCTGTAGCGGATAATAAAGGCTGTAGTAATGCACAACAACAAAGATCAACACCACAATCTTCTACGACATCATCTGTTCAAAATAATCAACAAGTGATTAAATGCCCACAAGCAAATTGTCCAAAAACCTTTACCCGGATGTATAACCTTAAAGCACATCTTAGATCTCATTCACCAGCACGTCCTTACCAATGCACAATGTGCCCAAGATCTTTCTCAAGAAAACATGATCTTCAACGACATATTAGAGTTCACACTGGGGTCAAACCTTATGTTTGCCCATGTTGTCATAAGGCTTTTGCTAGAACAGATGCTCTTCGTAGACATTTCAAAATGGAAGAGACCTGTAGAAATTCTCCTGAAGTTCAAAATATGAAAACTAGAAAACGATATTCAGATTTAAATTGATTTAATTTTTACGAAATATATTTTAAATAATAAGTCGAGTTAATTATGATGATTTAAATTTTTTTTTAATAGTGAAAAAAAAAACGCGAATTTTTTTTCCTATTTTTTATTTTTTTTCGGTTTAATCACTTTTTAAATTTCAAATTTAGTATATAATATGTATATATAAATATTCTTTACGGGACTATTATATTTTATATATATGTATATATACACCAACTC